TTACTTGATCAAAAATGGAATCAGGTTTCTTTCTCTAGCACTAGTAATGTTGACAGCTCGGCTTTGACGATCAGAAAGAAGGGGCTCTGGCTCTCGGCTAACTGGCCCGCTGTGTTGTCCCCCACCCCACCACACCCTGTGGTGCGTTGCGTCTGCTCGCGCACGTCATACATTCACTCCATCCATCTATCACAGCATTGTGACCTCTCCATCCCGCACCAGAGAAGTGAGAGGCACGGTATGCCTAGATAATCTAGACTGGGCTAGCCTATCACACGATGTGTTCTGCTTGTCTGTGCATGCCACACCCTCCCCACTCGTTTGCTCCGGCCTTCATTGTTGATTAGCGTGGACTCTCCCATTCTTTGTTTCCCTGGATCACCAACAACTTTCTCAACTGGCAAGGTTGTATAGTATGTTTAATAGATCTGTGCACTGTGCACAGCAGCAGCAATATTCCGCTATAACCGACTCGCGTGACTGCCAGATTGCGCAATAGCAGTATTTTGTTTACAAAGATCTAGAAGGGGAAGAAACGGGGTTTTAGAACAGTGTCTTTATAACAGACTTCTCGTTGTTTCAGGACTCGTTATAAGTGGACTCCACTGTAGTAAGGATGATGAAAGAAAAAGCAGCAGTTCCCCCTATGTTGTTCCGGCACAGTATGAGCATGACATTGATAAATCAGCCCATTTACAATTCTACTGTGAATAAGAACATGTTAATGTTTCCCCCTTTGGGAATGGCCTAAAGACACTTCAGTCAGTAGCACTGCTCGGTGTAACACCCACATAACACCACTTCCGCGCAAGCAGCGAGACGCTCACATCTTTCACAATCGTGAAAATAGCCAAATCTTACAGGGCATGAAAAAAACCTGACATTCAGTGGAATCTACAGTGTCCAGCCGGGAGCCACCGACGGCAGCCACAACAAGACTTACCTTCGTGGAACCACCGATGGCAGCGACAAGACTTACCTTCGTGGAACCACTGACGGCACAGACAACAAGACTTACCTTCGTGGAACCACTGACGGCACCGACAACAAGACTTACCTTCGTGGAACCACCGACAACAAGACTTAACTTCGTGGAACCACTGACGGCACCGACAACAAGAATTACCTTCGTGGAACCACTGACGGCAGCGACAACAAGACTTACCTTCGTGGAACCACTGACTGCACCGACAACAAGACTTACCTTCGTGGAACCACTGACGGCAGCGACAACAAGACTTACCTTCGTGGAACCACTGACGGCAGCGACAACACTGTAGCATCTTGTTGTACCAGCTGTTGGGACGAGGTGGGGGGGGAACAGGAGAATGTTCACAAGTCATACATATTTCTATATTCATACATAATAATAATAAATAATGAGTCCACTGCTTGAAGACCACACAAGAGGGAGTAACTGGACATTTATACATGATCTTCATGTCTGAAGAATTATTGGGGGGGGGGACTATCACCCCCACTAACAGGGTGTTCACAGACCTGTCTCTCTATCACCCCCACTAACAGGGTGTTTACAGACCTCTCTCTCTATCACCCCCACTAAATGTTCCAGGGGTGTTCATAAATATATGCCCTGTGAGTGTGCGTGTGTGTGTGTGTGTGTATGTGAGTGCATGTGTGTGTGTGTGTGTGTGTGTGTATGTGAGTGCATGTGTGTGTGTGCATGTGTGTGTGTGTGCGTGTTTGTGCATGTGTGTGTTTGTGCATGTGTGCGTGTTTGTGCATGTGTGTGTGTGTGTGTTTGTGTGCATGTGTGTTTTTTATCACTGCTTCTTCCCTCCATACTACAAGGTAACAGGCCAGAACAAGTAAAAAAGGAGAAAAGGTGAAGAAAGAGTGAAGAAAGAGTGGAGAAAGAGTGAAGAAAGTGGAGAAAGAGCGGAGAAAAGTGGAGAAAGAGCGGAGAAAAGAGGAGACAAGCGTCGGTGTTGCTTACTGTCCAGGCCCGCCGCAGTAGCAGTAGCTGTGCTCCACGTTGCTCACGTGCGACGCATCCCACACGAGGTAACGCTCCTGCCGAGACAAACAAACAGCTTCACTACACACACAAACAAAACTTTTAAACAGCCCACAGACATTCTACAACAGACAGACAAACACCCCACAGACATTCTACAACAGACAGACAGACAGACACTCCATAGACATTCTACGACAGACAGACACCCCACAGACATTCTACGACAGACAGACACCCCACAGACATTCTACAACAGACAGACAGACACCCCACAGACATTCTACAACAGA